CCCAAATATGGCGATCAGCTAAACCCTGAGCATATAGGCAAGATTCATCACCAGATACTACAGAAAATTCTTTCCTGGGTAACTCAGATCCCACCCCATCTAATATCCCATCACAGGCCATTGGCCCTATTAACTATGAATATTTAATTACCAAAACCATGTTATCCCATCATACCATCTCCTCCATAAACTTATCGAGTTTAATCTTAAAGCCAGATAGATCTTTTGCCCCCACTGCTTCCCTTGGAAGGCTGTTCCAAAACTTCACTCCTCTGATAGTTAGAAACCTTTGTCTAATTTCTAGTCTAAATTTCCTGGTGGCCAGTTTATATCCATTTGTCCCAAAAGAGCTTTGCAAAGGAGATAAGTAGCATTGTACAGATGGGGAAACTGAGGCACGGGGAGGGGAAATGACTTACCTGGGGCCCCCAGCAGCTGAGATAGAAACAGAACCCAGGAGTCCTGAGTCTCACTCCAGTGCCCTGTCTATTAGCCCAGCAAAAACGGCCAACCCTAAATATTCCCCCTCACACATGGTCGTATAGATACATCCACATCACATGCACACACACATATAATGAAAAACCTCCAGCCCAAAGACAGATCACCAAGCCAACACACAGAGCCAGATACGGATCACCTGTACACACCCATAGAATGGGAAATTGAAAACCTTGTTGTTTTCCTCTGAGCTGTCACCTAGGGCAATCTTGGTTTTAGTGCTACCTTTTTTTATTACAGGAATCAATTGCATTTCACTCTCTATTTTTTTCAAGGGACAGCCTCACTTTTATATTTCATCAATGAAAAGCCGTTTCAGATCCAACCACTGCATACATCTCTCTCAGTGTATGGTTTCCGAGTAGCAGCCGTGTTAGTCTGTATTCGCAAAAAGAAAAGGAGGACTTGTGGCACCTTAGAGACTAACCAATTTATTTGAGCAGAAGCTTTCGTGCATCCGATGAAGTGAGCTGTAGCTCACGAAAGCTTATGCTCAAATAAATTGGTTAGTCTCTAAGGTGACACAAGTCCTCCTTTTCTTTTTTCAGTATATGGTGTTTCTCTTTAAGCCCCAGTTGCCCAAAGTTTAAGCCTAGAAGAGTCCATTAGATCAGCTAATATGTATTTCACAGGCCATTCAATTACACCCAAATAAATACCCCTATATTGAGCCCAACAACTTTAGTGAGACTTAGGGTATGTCTTCGCTACCAACGTTAAAGCGTTGCTGTGGCAGCATGTTAACGTGGCTGTGTGGTCAGGGCTGTAAAAAACCCACTCCCCTGAGGGGTGTAGCTACCAGCGCTGGTGCCCTATTTACATGGCCACTTTAGAGCGCTGAAACTTGCATCGCCGTGGGGGTGTGTGTGTTTTTTCACACTCCTGAGCGAGAAAGTTTCAGCACTGTAAAGTGGCCATGTAGACAAGGCCTAGCATTCCAATCATCAGACGATTAACTGTTGTGTGCCCCAGGCAGAAAACGGGCTGTCAGCATCCACTAGGGCCACACTACCAAGTATATGATTTAAATGGCAACACAAGGTCAGGGCCGGATTAACCTTTTGTGGGCCCCCATGCAGGCAGTGGACCATGGCGTAGGAAAGTCAGTCCCCAGAGCAAGGGGCCAGCCTGGGGCAATGGGGCATGGCATAGCAGGGGCGGCCCCGCTCCGCCCAGCCCAGTGCGAGGGCACTATTTACAAGCCGGCAGTTGCCAGCCACACAGTGGTCTGCTGGGCCCTGTACTGACAGCGTGACCCTTCCCCTCGGGGGGTGGGCCCATGCCGTGCCACACAGCCCCCTCACCCAAGACCCTCCTAACTCCCTATGGCCAGAGCCACCCTGGACCCACTATGCCCAGCGTCCCCCCAGCCCCTTCCACACAAATACACAGCACCCTGCACAACACCACTCCTGCCCAGCGCCCCCCCGGCCCACAGCCCCACCACAACTGCCCAGCACCCCCCACAGAACCCCCCCCCACTCCCTAGTGCCCCCTCACAGCCCAGCACCCCCCACCCCAGATCCCCAAGAGACCCACTCCCCTACACCCTGCCTCCCAGCTGCACTCACTGGCCCTGCTGAGAGGAGACTGTATCTTAGGGTTACCATACGTCCATATTTTCCCAGACATGTCTGGCTTTTTGGTTCTTAAATTGCCATCCAGGAGGAATTTTTAAATATCTAAAAATGTCCGGGATTTTGCCATTTATTATTTTTCCCCAAAGAAGAGTTGATCATTCAAGAAAGAGAGTGAATGTTGATCACTCGAGAGTGCCCGCTTTTCCCCCTAGCTGTTTCGCACGGCTAGGACAGAGGGGGGCGGGGGGGAATGCAGCGTGCTCAGGGGAGGAGGCGGGGCCAGGGCGGGGATTTGGGGAAGGGGTCCAATGGGGCAGGGAGGGGGCGGAGTTGGGGTGGGGACTTTGGGGAAGGGGTTGGAATGAGGGTGGGGGAAGGGGTGGAGTTGGGGCAGGGCTGGGGGGGGGGTGCGAGCAAATGCCCCCCCATGGAGTGTCCTCTTTTCTGAATGTTCAGATATGGTAATCCTACTGTATCGGCCAGGCTGAGCCAGCAGCGCAGCCAGGGCTGGTCCCGGGGCCAGGAATCGCTCCGGTCCCTTGGGAGTGGTGTGATCAGCCAGGTCAGGGCCTGCCCCGGCCAGGCTCCCTCAAGACGCACTTGCCTGGACGGGCCCAGCCAAGCTCCCCGCGCTGTCCTCTTCTTCCCCCACACCTGGCTGAAACTGGCCAGGCTTCTGCACCAGTCACAGGCAGCTCAGCTCCAGGGAGACGGGGGGCCCCACAGGTGGTGGGAAGCAAAGACTGCCCAGAGCTGGAGGTGCACTGGGATCTGGCTAGGGGGCAGAGAGGAGCAAGTGGTGGGCAGGGGGAGCCAGCCGAGTCTCAGGGCGCAGTGCAAGCAGAGCAGCCTGGGGCACTTCTGAGCATGGGCCCGGCTCCATGGAGCCACTGGAGCCATTGTAAACCCGGGACTGCACAAGGTGCAAGGCGGCAGAGAATCAGGGCCGGGGTAACTTGATTATCACAGAGTGGACAGACTGTCCGCCGGCATTAATCATTGTCGTGCCACTGAAGGCAAGGGAGTTCTGCTGATATCCACCAGCTGGGAATCTGTAGAGGGGCCATTTAACCTCTCTGCACCACACTGGTGACACAGATGCTGGGTCCAGTTCTGGCGTACACATTTTTATGAAGGAGGTTGAGAAACTGGAGACGGTGCAGAGAAGAGATAAAAAAAAAAAAAAGATTGGCAGGCTGGAGAAAATGTCTGAGAGTGAGAGACTCAGTTTGTTTAGTTGATCAAAAAGATCGAGAGGTGACTTGAGGCTGGTGTACAAGAACCTTTGTGGGGCAAATATCCCAAGTATCCACAGCCCTTTTAAACTAGTAGAGAAAGGTGGAAGGAGAACCAAGGGCTGGAAGTTAGAGCGAGACGAAGTTCCAGTCAGAAAGAAGGCACCAATTTTTAACAGTGAAGGTGATTAACCCCAGGAACAAACTCCCCAGGGCAGCAGTGGATTCTCCATCTTTAGAAATTTTCAAAATCAGCCTGGATGTCTTTTTGAAAGATGCTTTGGTCTAACACAAGTTATTGGGCTCAAGACAGGAGTGCCTTGTGTGTGAAACCGTATTACACCGGAATATGATCGAATCTACTGGTCCCTTCTGGCAAGAAACTCTATGAATTTGGCCCTGTGTTTTATCCTGGTTACTTAAGAGCCAGGTTTCTGAATGCGGCAGCACCAGGTCAGCTGGTCCTTTCCTAGCCTCCTTTCTTTAATGAAAGGATTTCGAGCAAGACTTTGTATTTGAAGATGCATAAAACACACCCACAGGCAAATTCACAAGCAGGGCCCTGTCCCCTTAAAGTAGACTCTAAGAAGGCCCTTGAACAGCAAAGCCAGACTTAAAGATCTCACACCTCGAGCCTGTTTAGCATGGGAGCCAGGACTCCTGGGTTTTATTACCAGCACTGGGAGGGGAGTGGGGAGTGATGGTTAGAGCAGGGGCTGGGCCTCAGGACTTCTGGGTTCTATCCCTGCCTCTGGAAGGACAGTGGAGTCTAGTGATTAGGGGTGGGGGCTGCTGAGAGTCAGGACTCCTGGGTTCTATTCCAAACACAGAGATGATGCTGACAATGTGGCACATAGCAGAGGTGGATTAGGAGTTTGTGGGGCCTTGGGCCAGAGCAAGTGCCCCCAGCCCCCTCGCCAGCACTTCTGCAGGGGGAAATGGAGTCAGGGCGCAGGGACTTGCCCTGTCCTGCCCCCATGCACAGCACTCCTGGGGAGCTGGTGTGGGGGCCGCGCTCCTGCTGGGAAGTGGGATTAGGACATGGGGGTGCCCATTTTTCCGGGGGTTCCCCAAATTAGCCAGGGCTCCTGGACACAAGCCCCGTTGGCCCAGTGGTTAATCCACCACTGCACACACAGAAAGAGATGGCATGGGCCACGAGGAGGGGTATGGGGACATGCTAAGAATGCAAATGTCCTTAGCAATGAAAATGCTGGCAGTATAATGAGACGTACAGAGCAGCATTGTGGTCCCGTAGCTAAAGGAAGAGGAGGCTGGAAGCCAAGACTCCTGGCCTCCATTCCCAGCTCTAGCAGGGGAGCAGGGTCTAGCTGGTTACAGCGGGGGGCTGGGAGCCAGGACTCCTAGATTTTATCCCCAAAGAACTGAGATGCCCCACACCAGAGGTGGCTGCATCTCAGCCCGGCGCAAGCCATCCCTGTGCCGTGTTTCTGTGAGGCTTTTACCTACCGACATTCCCCACCCCGCTGTCAGCTGTGCCTCAGCCCCAAATGAGTGAGCCATTAGTAGGCCGCCTGTGAAGATGAACCTGAAGGAGTCCAAGAATACCTTGTAGGGAGAAGGGAGGTGGTGTTAATCTGAAAACCATCTGTTTTTACCTAGGATTTGTCCAACAGCAGATTGTGAGCATAAACAGAACTAGAATGAGATTAAACTAAGACCATTCATATTTTATTAATTTCACACTTGATAGCAAAAAATAAATCACGTGTACTCAGATCACTTATTGTCACCCATATGCTAAGCTTTGCAGTCCATTCATTGTCCGTTACTTGTCTTATGTAAGACACAGAGACTAACTTAGAGGAGAAGGTCAGGTTTTTAGGTTGATCAGCTGATATTCACCCTGACCTTCAAGGATATTCACCCAGACCCAGATTGCTTACTGGAAGGGGCATGTCTCGGTACCTTTTTATGAATTTTATTAAAGCCACTTCAAACCGCCCCCCCACCCGACCAAAGTTAAATTATTATTACTGAATTTTGTTGCCAATCCAGATGAGCAGTTGCAGCTTTCATGGAAAGGAAATTTCAAAAGAAAATTTTTGATTCAGAAGCCTGCCCACCACCTGATCAGAATGTTTTGATAACTCAGTGATAAATGATCAAGTTAGCACAACAATTAATCTTTCACAATATAAGTTGATTCAAAACAAGCAAGTCAAAACAAAATACTCCATTTTGATTCAGAATTGTGTTGAGATTTTTTTCTGTCAAAAGTTTAGCTGATAACAAAACCTTTCAATTTGGATCCATACACCATTGATGGAAAAGTCTTCAGTCAAGATTTTGGGGGGGGAGGGGCGGGGACCAGCGTTAATGACAATTGCCAAATCAAACTCAAATCAACAAATTAATCTCAACACCTGATCATCAAAAAGAATTCTGGAGTTGGTGGAAGAGCTGAGGATAGAACCCAGGCATCCTGACTCCCAGCCCACCACTGCACTAACCCACTAGACCCCACTCCCCTTCCAGACCTATGGATAGAGCCTAGGAATCTGGACTCCCAGGCTACCTAACCAGACTACACATCCCATGATGCACCATGGCCCAGAATTCCCATGATGCAGTCAAGAAGAGGGGAGGACTGTGGTCTCTCATGGGAGATGTAGTCCAGCCAGGAAGTGTGACCCATATAGGAGAATGGGAGCATGAGGTACCCAAACCACAACTCCCATGAGGCAGCATTTCGAAATTAAAATTGTGTGGATTCAGGTTTTTGCCAAAAAAAATTGGCATTTGTGATGGGAGGAAATAGCTCCCATTTTCCAGCCAGTTGTAAAGATGGGCCATGGTGGGTGAGGAGGAGGGAAGGAGCAGTAGGTGGGAATGGGAAGGGAAGAAGAGGTGAAAATGGGACAGAGAGGGCAGGGTTATACAATGGAAGAACCCTCATCGCTGCCCCACAGAAAAGCCCTGGGGCTTGGCTGAGCCTGGGAATGGTCCGTGACAGAAAGTCCATCACCTTGGAAGAGACTGGTAGAGATGCAGGGGCCTGCAGGGGTGGCTGCAGCAGGCTGGGTGGATCCTGCCAGGCTCAGAGGCAGGGTCCTCAGAGCTCCATGCAGAAGGTCAGATTGGTCCCAGTCATCTTCTCCTCATAGTCCTCATCAAAGCGCTCATTCTGCGCCACGGTGAAGTGGTTCTTCCAGTCCCCGACAGACCCTGCAGACAGCAGAGATGCAGAGACAGGAGTTGCCGTGTGAGGGGAAGGGCTTGGACTTTAGACACAGCCAGCATCTGTCCCAGGCCTAACACAGCTGCCAAGGCACTGTTCTGGGGAAGCTCACAGCTCTCAAGGCCTTGCTGAGCACTGCTGTGAGCCAAGCAGGGCAAGGCCCCAAACCTTTATCGACTTTTTAATGCCCTTCTGAAGTGAGTTGGTGGAAGAGCTGAGGCGAGAACCCAGGAGTCCTGACTAGACCTAGGGCTAGAACCTTGGACGCTGGACTCCCAGGCTACCTAACCAGACTACATATCCAATGATGGACCATGGCCCAGAGTCCCAGGATGCATTCAAGAGGAGGGGCAGACTGTGGTGTCTCATGGGAGTTGTTGTCCAGCCAGGAAGTGTGACTCATATAGGAGAATGGGAGCATGAGGTACCCAAACCACAACTCCCCTTTTTAAGTGCCCTTCTGAAGCTTCACAGCCAACCCAGGTCCAGGCAAGAACGAGGTGTGTACCGCCTGTCTCGGAAGTGTGTTACTTTCGGGGGAGGGGGTGTCACACATCCATCACCAGCAGGGGGTGCCCTGGAACCCATCCCAGGGGCAGGTCTAAGGACCGGGTTACCTTTACGCATGAACGGGGAGATGGACTGGTCCATGATGGACAGGGGGACGCCGGAGCGGTTAGCCATGGGATTGTCCTTCATGACGTCAAATGACGTGTGATAGACGATCTTCTCCAGAAGCTCCTGGTCCAGGTTCTTCCCCAGAAACCGGGCCACTTTCTGGATCTCACGCTTTGGGTCCTGTGGGGAAGGCATTGCTCTGAGGAAGCTCACAGCACTAGGGTCCCTCCTAGGCACTGACAGGACACTGCTCTGAGGAAGCTCACAGTGCTACAGCCCCTGCGAGGCACTGACAGGACACTGCTGCGAGGAAGCTCACAGCACTAGGGGCCCTGCCAGTCCATGGCACTACTGTCTGGAAGTTAATTGAGCTTGAATCAGGACACAGCTGTGGGGAAGCTCACAGCCCTAGACTTTAGAGCAGGGCACTGCTGCAGAGAAACTCACAGCACTGGAATCCCATCTCCTGTTCCCTTGAAAGACACAAGCTGGGAAGGGTTCATTTCTCCTCCCTTCCCATGCAGAGTCCTCGATGCTGCAGTTCCAAAGCTCCTATGGGGCTTGCAGCTCAGCCCCCCCGAAGCCTCCCCACAGAGCCGCTCACCTTCTTCATGTCCTCGTAGAAGAGGAAGAGCACGTGGTGCTTGTCCTTCGCCTTCCACCAGCCCTTCACATGCTCATGCCACGGACCCCAGCCCACTGCAGCGGAGAGTGCAGGGAGACGGCCCCGTGAGGACAAGTGGGGCTGCGGAGCAATGCAGGGGGCTCCCCAGCAGGGGATGCTCTCCGAGACCACAGGAGTACTAGGGGGATCCCAGAGCTGAGAGCGTAGAGATGGGGTCTCCCCAGCAGGGGACAATCTCCCCAGGATTGGAGTCACTGGGAAGGGACCCCAGGGGTGGGACCGTGTGGGTGGGGTGTCTCCCCAGTAGGAGGTGCTTTGTCCAGGCTGGGAGCTTAAGGGGGGGAATCCCATAGCTAAGGGTACAGGGGCTCTCCCCAGCAGGGGGCACTTTCCTGGGGGGAGGGGCTCGAGGGGGACTCCAGGGCTTAGGGCACAGGGATGGGGGGGTCTCCCCAACAGGGTGTGCTCTCCCTGGGATAGGGGACCTCAGGACTGAGAGCACATGGCTGGGGACATCTCCCCAGCAGGGAGTTCTCTCCCCAGGGTGGGATACTCTAGGGGGGACCCCAGGGCTGAGGGGGTGGGGTGACTCCCAGCAGGGGTGCTCCCCCCAGGACGGACAACAGGAAGAGGAAGTTCTGGATGTCAAGCCAAGGAGCTGGGCTGAACTCACCTTTGCCCGCCATGAACCTCTCAAAATACTCGTGCCAGGGGCCTGGGTCAGGCACCACCTTGCTCATTCTCTGGAAATGGTAGTAGGAGACCATGCAGTCCTTGGCATTACGAGCCACGTACAGGAACTGGGTAGACGGGACAAGAACGACAGAGGGAGAGGGGTTTGCTATGGGTCATTGCTGCAGGGCAAGGGGGGTCTCTAAGCTCAAGCTTGGGAGGCGGGGGTTACCTTACACCTCTGTTCCCAGCTGTGAAATACCCACACAGCAGCCCTGCACAGGGATCACTCACCTAGCACTGAAGTGCAGCCACCTCTGGGGTGGGGCGCAGTGGCTGCCATGGCACTTAGAGGAAGGATTACCTTACACTGCTGTTCCCAGAAAGATGGAGGCAAGAGTTTGGTGGGGAGGTGGGTTTTCAGGGTCCGTGGCGGGGGCATGTCTTCGGCTTGTTCCACACCTGCAAGTGGGAGTGAGGTTCAGATGTTGTGCGTGAAGAACCAACCCCACCCACCCCAGCAGCACCTACCTGAGGGTTGGGGCGGACGAGCCCACTCGATGAAGGGGTGCCGGCTGTGGACGGGGGCACGCTTGCACTTCTCCAAGTCCCCGTCCTGCTGGACCATGTCTACTATCTCCTGGATCCAGGTTGTGCCTAGAAAGGAGGTGAGTGGAGTGTTTTTTCCAGCCAAACCCGCTGTGCCCATATTGTTATGGAGATTGGGATTACTGGCTGCCTTGAGAAACCAAGGCCTAGTGGATAAAACACCAGAGTTGGGAGACCTGGGTTCTAGTCCCGGCTCTGGCCAGCTGGGGGAGCTTGGAGAAGTCAAGTTCCCTCTCCGTGCCTCAGTTTCCCCATTTTTAAATTAGGATACTGATGCCAACCTCCTGTGCAAAGTGCTTTGAGATGTGATGACAGAAAATGCTATATAAGAACTAGGGATATTCCATTCAGCCTGCATGAGGGAGCAACTAAATGCTCTTTTGCTTAGTGATAGCCGAAACAAAGGAAAAAGCCACCCAGGGGACGGATAACGAAAGCCACTGCTCAAAGACTGGATTGAATGGAAATCCAGGAGGCTGGGGAGCGACTCACTTGGTTGCAGCTGTGTGTCTAAGAGAAGCCAGCAGCAATCAAGCCCCAGAGACAGCCAAAAAAGCCCTGGTAACATGACCCTGAGACAAAGCTAAGCAAGCGAGAGCTTTTGGGTGGAGGGTTGGCTGGAAAAGAGTCTTGGAACTGTAAGCAAAGAACCAGTCCCCTGTGGTTTGATCCCTGCTGTGTTCAGGTCAGAGGACTCTCTATATTCCTTGTAAATAAACAGAATTGCATCAAAGAAATACCAATTCCAATCTCAGTTTCTCTTTCTAACCAAAAGAACCCTCAGAACCCTATATATTCCCTGTTCCCTCAGGTCCAAAAGGGGTAAGGATGTATTATTCTCCGTGTATCTTCTCCAAGACATCATCTCCCACAGCCCAGCGCCCCCAGGTGCCATGTTGGTCAGGTGGTTATAGTACTGATTTAAAGACCAGAGTACCCCAGCCATCCCGCTTCCTGCAGCCCAGCGCCCCATGATGCCGCGCTGGGGCCAGCGTGAGGGGAGAGCGTCCCCTACCGAGCCCCCCAACCCCTGCCGCATGGTGCCCCCTAGTGCCACACTAGAGTATTAGGTTGCTACTGAGTCACCAATGCTATTTCCTGCAGCACCCTGGGATTTTCCCTGCATCTCCCATCTAAGAGCTAGCCCACCCGGACGCTCCTCTGCATGATACCTGACCAGCCGTCTACCACCTCCAAGGCTCTTCCTTGAGCAGCCTGTTGAATCTTCCCCACCACAGCGGAAGAAGCCCTTTAACGATGCTCCCGGCCACAGGAATGGGCGTACATTGCCGTCTCAGGGCTCCTAACTTTCTCTATAGCCTTCCCCTCAGCAAACACCCACCTGCTTTGGGGTAGGTGCAGATGAGCAGATCGTCAGGCCTGGCTTGGAAACCCTGGATCCGCTGCCATTCATTACAGGTGGCCTGGGAGAGCAGAATCCCCTCCACTTGGCCCAGTTCTGGACGTCCCTCTTTTTCCGGTGTGAGCGCTTTAGTCTGTTCTTTGGACATAGTGTATCGCAGACTGGATGATCACCCAGCACTGAAATGCAGCCACCTCTGGGGTGAGGCACAGCAACTGTTAAACACCCACTAGTGTCCCGGCTGAGATGCTGAAAAAGTAACAAAAGAGTATTTGTCTTCCAAATAAACTGTGCCTAGATACCAACCCTGTAAAGCGAGCCGGGGATCAGAGAGATAAGAAGGGGTCTCCCCTTCTCCCATCAGCAGTAACAGGCCTTCAGTCTGAACTGAGTTAAGAAAAAAGAACAACCTGTGTGCGATGCAGGCGTCGGATTCGAGTTTGGCTCAGATCTTGACTCCACCAAGCTAACTGAGTAAAACCGCTGTTAAAGCATCAAGATAGGACACTGATACACACACACAGAGAGCAAAACAGTTGAGCCGAAAGCTGGCGTTTGAAAATAAGCAATTATTTCATTTGTACATTTCAAGGAAGTGTTGAGGACGGGTGGATCTGTGGGTAGGGCAGCAGCCTTTGCCTCAGCAGACCTTGTTCAATTGCCAGATTTCCTGTGTCACCTTGGGCAAATCACTTAGTCTGTCTGGGTATGTCTACCCAGCAGAAAAACACACAGAGCAGGGAGTCTCAGAGCATGGGCCTACAGACTTGGGCCTGTGCTACGGGGCTAAAAAGAGCCATGTAGACATTCCCACCAGGGTTCTGGAGCCTAGCAAAGGGGGTGCAACTGAGAGCCGGAGAAGGAATGCATGTGTGGCTGTTTTTAGCCTTGTAGCTTGAGCCTGTGTATATAGATCCAGACTTGGAGACTTGCACCTGTGGGTTTATTTTGCAGTGTAGCTGTACCCTTGGTGCCTCAGTTTCCCATCTGTTAAATGGGTTTAATAGCCCTGCCCTGCCCCACAGAGGTGTTTGAGTGTGAATACATTAAAGATTGTGAGGTGCTCAGCTACTAGGATAATCGGAGCATATAAACACCATAGATACGGTGTATAATTTCATGAATAAGCCTCTGTTTTGCAGACGTGGGCGTAAAGGCCCAGAGACGTCCAACTCCATTCGATCCAGCCCAGCCAGGGGAGAAATTCACAAAGAGAATTTGCCCAGCAAGTCAGTGGCAAAGAGAGACCCCAGGTGTCCTGACTTCAACAGACTCGCTCATTTCTCAGGTTACACTCATGCCTTAAACTGTCTTTTATTTTGCTCATTTGATTGATCCCAGCTGAACTGTAGTAACCAGAGAATCCCAATCTGTACTCAATTATCACTAAACTCTGGGAGCGATCAGTTCATCTCTTGCAATAACTTTAAAACTAAGGCCCCCATTACGCCATAAAAGTTAGAGAACTTAAGTATGGATTTTGCTGTTGGCTTTTTAGTGGCTCTGAGACAAGATTCCCTCCTACACCTCCCCAGCTTTTTACCTTCCGCCTGTTGTTTTGACAAGCTGATCCAGCCTCCTTCACACCCTTGATGGGTGACCGAAATGGTCACACGGGGTCTATAAAGCTGCTTAATCTGGACACTGAACTTTCTCCTGCTGGGGAGCAAAGTTTCCTTCTAGATCAGCTAGGCAAAGCCAGGGCGCGGCTCTTAGCAGGAAGCATTTTTAATCCAAGTTGGTCAGTTTCCCATGACTCGGCAGTTTCTGTTCCTCACCCCATTTGCTGCAGTGTCCTGCCGCTGTTCTTTGAAACCCTGGTGTGGCCCCTCCACCCGCAGGAAGCGCTAGTGTGAATGGAATGGGCCTTCTCGAAGCCGGGAAGAGTCAAAGAGCCCAGATCAGACGTACAGAGGCAGGGTGGTTTATTTAGCTAAAGCAGGGGAGAGGGGTCTAGTGGATCAGAGTGGGGTTTGGAAATCAAGACTCCTGTGGCCTGTTCTCAACTCTGGGTGGAACTGTGACTCCAGTTCCTCTGTGAGCTAGGACTAGTCTCCAGATATTCTGAATGCCCAGCCTCCCCACGCAGCTTTAACCCACTAGACCCCACTCCCCTCCAAGAGCTGGGGATAGAACCCAGGAGTCCTGGCTCCCAGCCCCATAGCGCTAACCCACTAAACCCTGCTCCCTTCCCAGAGCTGGGGATAGGACCCAGGAGTCCTGGCTCCCAGCTCCGCTCTAACCCACTAAACCCCACTCCCCTCCCAGAACTGGGAATAGAACCCAGGAGTCCTGGTTGTTCCCAGCCCCCCTGCTCTGAACCCTAGATGGCATTTCCTAAAGGAATTCAGGAGGTTCCTGATGGGACACAGGACACCAGTGCTTGTTTTATGATGACACCGAAACCAAAGAGAAATGAGTGAGATGAAAGAGCCAGGGCCAGCTTTTCTCCTGGCTAGCTAGAGAAGCTAGGCTTCTGCTAGAGCAAGGTTAGGGGGTAGCTTCCCCTTCCTACATCTTTGCCAGATGCTTCTTCGTTCCAACTTAGCCCAGCTATTGCTATCAGCCCTTTCTCGCACAATAAGCAAATGCTTACTGAAGTAAGGGTGGGATGATCCTGATGGAAGCAAGAGGTGGCCCTGCTTGCAGCCCAATTCTCCTGGGATTTCCACCTAAACAGCTTGACCCAGACACATCTGTTCCATTCAGACCAGGTCAGCGTGTGTGTCATGTTTTCGGGACTGCTGTCTACAGATCGAGAAGAAGACACCTATGGAGTAGGACACCGGCTCCATTGAGACCACACAGCCACTCGGCAGCTTGATGAGACTTAGCTTGAAACCCTCTCTCTTAAGGAGCCCCCCGGTGCCGAATTCACTAATTTTTATTGCCAGACAGTACAGCTATCTGTTCCCCGATTTAGCCCAGAGGGAAACAGGAGACAGTTCAGGGGTTCAAACTCTCTTCCCCAGAGTAATGGGTAGGTACAGCCAGAGCCCTTTCCCAGCTGTACTATATCCCAGTGAAGCACAACACAGTCGGGCTAGATCCTCACCTGGTCTAAATGAGCATTGCACCATTGTAACCAAGCCATGACCATTGATATTAGCTGGGGAGCTGGCCCTAATTATTACTCATTACGGTTCTGGATAGAGTGCTGGGCATTCATAGGGTTTGTCTACACCGCACACTAAGCCTGGGCTCTGACTCAGGTTTGAGCCCAAGCCCCTGCTTCCGTCCACACACAAGTCAGTGTGACTCAGGTAAGCAAGCACTCCAGACGTGGGTCTAGGATGTTGCTAGAGGGTGGGTCAGAGCCTGAGTTCCCCTGTGACTCGGGTCCAAGCCCTGTCATTCTGCAGTGTGGACACAGGTCAAGCCACAGACCTGAGCCAGAGGGTCTACGTAGAGCAGTATGGACGTGTTAGAATGGCTGCGAGACCCGAGTCCAGCAATCGTAAAGCCGTTTACTGTGCAGTGTGGACACTCAAATGCAGGCTTGGAAACACTGAGTCCACAAGTCCGGGTCTCAGACCCAGGTTTACAATGCAATATGGACATACCTGAAGAGCTTAAGACAAGAAGGGACCATCAGATAGGAACATGGGACTGGAAGGGACCTCCTGGGTCAAGGAGTCCAGTCCCTGCTCTCTCAGGCAACTCTGGTGTATAATCCCAGTCATGAATTGGTCAAAATCCATTTTCAGACCAAGTAGGTTGTTTGCCCCTGCTACTGCAATTGGGAGGCTGTTCAAAAGCAACCCTTTTCTAATGGTTAGAAACCTTCTTCTCGTCTCCAGCCTGAGTTGACTCCTGGCCAGTTTATCCCCATGTTGTTCTTGCACCAACACTGCTCTTTGCTTCAGGAGCTCTTTTCTCTCTCTGCTGGCTTGCCCCTGGAGGTATTTATAGAGAGCAAACAGATCCCCTCTTGGCCTTCATTTACCTGGGCTAAACAAGCCAAGCTCCTCCAGCCTTCATCTCCATTCCCCTGACCATCCTAGTAGCCAGGGCCGGTGCAAGGATGTTTCGCACTCTAGGTGAAACTTCCAGCTTGCGCCCGCCCTCCTTGGCCCTGGGAGCCGTGCAGCAGCTTCCCGGCCCTCCCTCTCTCCCCTCGGCCCGGGGAGCTGTGCGGCAGCTCCTCGCTCCCCCTCCCTCGGCCCAGGGAGCCATGCGGCAGCTCCCCACCCCAGCTCACCTCTGCGCCGCCTCCTCCCCGAGCACGCCGCCGCAGTTCCGCTTCTCCCGCCTCCCGATTGGCGCCACAAGCCTGGGAGGGAGAGAAGCAGAATGGGGCGGTGCTCAGGGGAGGAGGCAGAGCAGAGGTGAGCTGGGGTGGGGAGCGGTTCCCCTGCGCGCCATCCCCAGCCTATTACTTGCTGCAGGCGGCCCTCCCCGGGCCCCCCTGCCCCAGCTCACCTCCGCTCCACCGCCTCCCTGGAGCGCGCTTTTGGCCGCCCCCAACCACTTGGTGGCCTAGGCGGCCGCCTCGTTTGCCTAGTGGATGCACCGGCCCTGCTAGTAGCCCTTCTCCGCACCTGTCCATCTATTCTGATCTTCTGTGTGGCACAGGCCAGAGAATGTAATCCAGTTCCCTCTGGAGTGAGCCCAATAACTTGTGTTTGACTAGAACTTCTTCCAGAAAGGCAACTGCTCTGGAACTGAAGAATCCACCACTTCCTTTGGAAGTTTGTTCCAGTGGTTAGTAACATCTTTGTGCTGTGCTGGAGGAAGACCCCGTGGCCTTGCCGGTAGCCATGGAGGGAGCTCTAAAACAGGCAAGGCTCACAGCAGCCGTTCTAGAGGACGGGACAGTGAAAGCGCTGAGGATTGCTAGCGCCGGGTCTAGTTTGCAGGGAAAAGCTGGGGTAGATACATCCTCTGAGTGCTACCGTCTGATGAAAACCTGACATGTAGGTGTCCCTGTGATATTTGTAAGGTGCCTGACGTCTTGGTATCCCAGTGGTAACAGCACACAGGAGGCTGAGCTAGTTGGGTGAGCTAGTGGTTAGAAGACAGGGGAATGGACATTAGACTCCTGGTTCTAGCCCCAGCTCTGGGAGGAGAGCGGCGTCTAGGGGGTTACATCGGGGGGGATGAGAGTCAAGACTTGTGGGGTCTATCCCTGGCTCTGGGAGGGTAGTGGGGCCCATTGGGTTGGGGCTGGGAGCTAGGACTCCTGGTTCTATCCCTGGCTCTGGGAGGGAGGTGGAGTCTAGTGGGTTAGAGAGGGGGCGGGGGGAGGGCTAGAATACAGGACTCCTGGGTTCTATTCCAAGTTCTCGGGGGGACTGTGGTTTAATGGTTACAGTGGAAGATTGCGATCCAGGGGTCCTGGATCTTCTTTCTACTTTGGCTGAGAAAAAAGCTCCTGTGTCCCATTCCCCACCCTGTGAGCCAGCCAGTCCCCCTGCCCTGGGACTGGATCAGAGCTGTTGTTCTGAGAAAGCAAAGGCCCGCATCCCATTCCCTGATCCCCTAAACTGGCCAGTCCCCTGTCTGGGGGCTGGATCGGAGCCAGCACCCCCTTGAGGGGAAAAGGTCCCGAGCCTATTCTCTGAGCCAGCCAGTCATGCAGCATTTAGGATTATAACTAAAGCACAGTGTCCCCTGAATTCCACAATGCACGACTTGCCAGTCGGTTTGCGGAAGACGTCGATGTACAGTTCAGGGGGCCCAGAGGAATGCAGAGCCAGCCACCATCGCCCCCGATAAGGGCCGGACGGCCAGAGAACGCAGGAGAAAAGGCCGAGGCACAGTTACTTACCTAGACTCCGCGCAGCTGGTCAGTCAAGCTGTGCCGTGCGAGCCAGCAGGGAGTGGCCTTATCGAGGGCTCCTTCTTGTTCAAATACCCTGCTGCTGGCGTGATTGATGGCCCCTGAGTCCACCCCGCACCCACTTTGTGACCCAGAGCACATGTGTTTGAATCGTCTAATCAGGGCGGCGGTAGCACGCCCCACGCAAGGAACCGTGGGATGCATTGGCTAGGCTGAGCTCGCCAACGGGGCTCTCTCAGAACCATTCTCCTGAGCCAAACGGGGTTGGGCTGGCCAGGGGCAGGCGGGAAAGGGGGCTGGTAGCGCAGTTCCTTGGAGTCAGCTGCTGGGGGCGCTGTGCTGCAGGGTGCAGGGTGCAGGCACTTCCCCTTCACACTCAGTACAGTCCCCAATGCCCACGAGATGATAAGGAGCGCTCTCCTGCGGCAGACCGTGCTCACTCCAGTGTGGTACGAGGGGGACCCCCTACTGAGCCCCCCATCTGGCACCCTGCAGCACAGCGCCCCTGTCATAAATATAAAGGGAAGGGTAAACCCCTTTAAAATCCCTCCTGGCCAGAGGAAAAATCCTCTCACCTGTAAAGGGTTAAGAAGCTAAAGGTAACCTTGCTGGCACCTGACCAAAACGACCAATTTTTTTTTTTTTTTGAAGCAGAAAAGAATTTTATTTGTGTAACACTTACAAAAAATCACCAAAGAGGATAAAGCAAAACTATGCAACAAACCAGAGCAAACAGAAGGTATAACACAGCAGCCTTCAGGAGGGAGAAGTGTTCAGGCTAGCCTGGGCCCAGAGCAGGGGGCTTCCTCGACACTCGTGGTCTTCCACCCCCTCGAGTTACCTAGTGCCACGCCCAGTGTCACCGATTATTCCTCTCCTGAGAGTGCCCGACAAGATGGGCATGGCTGCGGGGTGGGTGGTTTGGGGTGGGGGGCATTACACCCACGTGTTTTAGGACCCCTCCTAGGTGACAATGATGATGGTAT